CGAAATGCTCCTTAACTACCTAAAGTCTCAAACAGTCCCTGCTGGGGAAGATCTACTCGATACCTTTCGGTCGCGATGTTTAAACACCTAAGTGGGAAGACGAAAATTCAACATCCAGGGCAAACCAATGGCAGAACCCTGATTCCAAACCAACCAAGAAGAAGCATACGAATCCTACAAGCACACCTTCCTGTGACCACCGGTTCGATTGAGCAACAAAGCGTATTGGGCACCTTAGACCTTTGACTCAGTCCCAAGGGGCGTATGATCCGATGGGTTGGATACCGAAGCCCAATAAATTGCGGTTTCCAAATCCACACACGGTTGCCGTGCAGATTAAGCGCTCAGTTGTGAATACCCAAAACTATTAACCTGCTATAGTCTGAAAAACCTGGCAGTATTCTAACCATGAGCAAACCATGAACCGATTTCTTTATTATAAAATACGAAAGAAATATAATAAATCCTCCGCATTATTATTATTATTCTCTAGACGCTTGTCTTCTTCCCGTCGCTTGCGTGAACAATATATTTTTTGCAACTATCTTCACCGCAAATTTCAAGAGCTGCTGAGAATTCACCTTTTGGATACACAAAGCTCTTCTTGAGTTGACTTTCCTGGAAAAAATTGACGAAGTCTGCTTCGCGGTATTCCGCAGTACGATGATGGCGACGATGCTGAAGACCCGGGGAGGTATCTTTCGAATCAACCTAGTATTCCGGCATCTATTACCGAGTAACAGTAAAACCCACAACATGACGGAAACGAACATGAACTTTGTGTATTCATCCACTTTCATCTGTTCCAGTCATGATTTGATCATGAACCTTGAAATGCTGCAGTTCGGATTACCTCCATGAATGAAAACATGAAATGAATGTAGGCCGAGTGGATCTGTGAATGGGAAATCATTTGTTACATTCAGTTGCATTATTCAATAGCCTGAACATAAATTAGGCTTTCCTGTATGCTTCCGAATCTGTATGCCACTGTCTGTTCAGTGGACTGCGCTTCAAGCAAGTGAGTGTGTGTGTGTGTGTCACACCAGTATTGATAATCCCAACCGAATGAGCAATGCTGCGAAAAAAATTAGTACTTCAATTCCGACCACTTTCCGCACTGTTGTGAACGCGATAGCCATGCGTCCGTGTGATGTAACAAAATCGATGAAACCGTTTCATCTTAAATTTGGTCAGTCTTTTACACAGATCGGAAATTGCGTGAACAATAGGAGTGCATGATGACGCAGAACTAATGTCGTTGAAAAGTCCAGTCACGAATGCCGAACAGGAAAACTTGAGGCAGAATAGCTGTAAATGTCAAAAAATAACGTCTTTTTAATGATGCGGCCGTTCAAGGATGACCAATCGTTCAAAGAAAACAACCATGACAGTAATTTCGAGAGGTAACAAAACTATGTTTCATTCAAATCCTAAAACCGGAGGTAAACATTCAAGAAGTAAAGAAAATCCCTGCTCGGTGGCTGTCCGATTGAAAGAACACAAGTGGCCTATTTAGGGAAGCTGAAAAACTGTTTTCAATCGTCATTAAAAAAGCGTCCGAAGTGGCTCCAGGATATTACGGTCGCAATGTTTACTGGCGCCAGTGGGATGCCCTGCGCACGTAGGGTATCCCAGAGGTGCAGACAGCATTTTAAGGACGTAAGATTATATTGATTGGATGCCGATCTGCGAGGGACTGTTTTCCCATACTACCTCATGGTTTAGACTTCGAGCAACCGAAGCAGGTACGAAAATCCTTTAGTTTTGCTTGAGCAACTTGGCAGTATGGCACAAAGAAGGAATAACGGTTTCTAAATTTGTTCTAATGATACTTCCATCACGATAATTAATTCGAAACAGCTTTGACCCAGACATTTGGGGTGACACAACCAGAACAGACTGATCATTGACCCAGTAAATGAGGAAACAATCGCTGAAATGGACGAGTATAGTAGGCTAGCCAAAAAATCCATTGAAATATTGACTGGTGAGCACATATTAACAATGCAAGTCTGACCCAATTTACTGGATTGGAAACTGCCGACTTTCCATGAAGCTAATTATGGCACCGCTTTAGTTTGTGTTTGCAAACTTTTTCAGTCATACTTTTTTTATTTTGAATAGGCTATTCACCCCGTTAACTGTGCAAGCTGGTAGAGCTGCGTAAAATGCCACCAGCCATTTGATACGAAACCGAAGCACATCATGCATCTGACTGAGAACAGAACGCTGTTGCAGTTATCTACGACAATGTCTGGTTTCGTGTGATATTGATCAAATAGGAGAACGGTTAGTCGACACCAAAGAAGGAACAAATCAAATTAGAAAACGCGTAAAAGCCACCAACAATCGGGGGTGTTTGATTTGGTTGAGTATTTGTTGTATTGGTACCGGCAGATTTCGAGAAACTATTCCGAATAAAAGTGAGACACAAAAAATACAAACACACAATGCAAGTGGAGAAACATTCACACGGACGTACCAGGGTGATCAAATTGAACCCAGCTCGATGTAAGAGATCGCCCATATCCACATTGTCCGTGAACGGACTAATGTGAGGACTGAATCCGCCCAACCGATCCAATTCGGCTAGCTGTAGTGAGAGCCGGAGCTCGAATAGGGTGTCTGAGGCAGACATCACACCCAGGAAACAGCCATCATTTTTCAAACAATAGAGGATCTAGTGAAGGAGAAAAAGAGAGCTTTGTTGAAACAACGTATGAACTTCAGAGGTGGGGATTGCATAACTCGGTACGGCAAAAGGTTGAACCGGTGAAACCAGAAGATTTGGCTCGGTCCAAATGTATGGATTTCGTATCAAACCATTTGATAAAGAGAGTGCTTGCCATCAAACCGGAGCGAGGGCGGCAGACTTTAAAGTTAGGATGTCTGGGATCAGAGATAGTGTTTATTATTCGCATTGGTATTCACATTATTCTGATAACTTTAAGCTTAATTTGTTAAACATATTTATTTGGGATTATATATATATACCTTTTTATTTTAGTTCCTTTTATTGAATACGCAAAGATACAATTTTCAGGAAGGGGGAAGCGTCCAATCAAAGGGCTGCCATTCAACACACAAATGGGGAAAGTCAGGTGGTGGTGGTGGTGGAATTCGAACACATCCCCGGGATGATAATTTGGTGACGTTACCACCGGGCCACCGCCCCCTCCCCCAAAATCTGCGACGTCCAGACACTCAATCCCCTTGTTTTTACACTATCATCTCGATAGTTGGTCAAAAATGTAGTCATTCAGGATTCTGAAGTGTTGAACCCCCAGCTCGGTGAGGGTGTACGCAGATCTCATCTCAAACCAAATCCTGTCGACGACTGCTAGCAACAGCACCTGCGAAGTCACCTTATCCCGTAGAAAAAGATAACCGCAGAAAAGCGAGTGAGTCAGTAACTCTTTGAAGCCCCAAAGAGATTTACATAGCATAGTACATGATGACGCAATAAATTTATCGATCCACGCGGCCTATCCTGCAAAATACCATAACCAGTAACCTGAACCATGAAGCAATATGGAACAGTATCACTGCCGGATACGGATGGCTCGGCACAGATAGTCTAACAGGTCTAACAGATAGCCTAACCTTCCCCTGAGAATTCTTGCAGTTTGCATTTGGAATGGATTGGGATCAGTCGTCACCGTGTGAACGTGTCGATTTTTTCTCTACTATACTGGATTGATCGGCATCAGAGTAAGGGGCAAAATACAGCGACCTGATTGTGGCCATTCCACCATCGCCGCGATTCCAATAAAGGCTCTCACTATCTTCCACTTCCTTTTTACTGGGGGCGCTGGAATACGCACCGTAAGACCACGTTTGGTGATAGCTTGGCGAGACACAACAGATAACAAACTGTAAATTAGACAGAACCCACCTTTTTCAAAACACCGGGTAAATCATTCACCCAGTGAAGGCTGAGAGAGAG